TTTAAATGAAATGTAGCCTTCCTTTTCTTTTTTTTTTTTTTGGTGGGGGGGGGGGAGGGACTGGACCGGGAGGGGAGATCACGATCTTTTCAAGGCAACAGCAGGCAGCATGTATGTTGCCCACCCATGATTTACACTGCCTTGCAGAAGGGGTCACACAAACCCTTTTCATCTTTTCACATTTTGCTGTGTTACAAGCTGGAATTGAATCTATTCAATTGAGATTGTTATCACATGATATACACAGGATACTCAACATTACAAAGGTACAAATTATTTTTATCGGGGAACAAAAATTAAGTAAGCAAAATCAAACTGACACTTGGTTGCATAAGTATTTACTCTCCCACCCTGGAATCAGTAATTGGTAGAATGTTTGACCATTCTTCTTGGCAAAGCTGCAACAGCTCTGTCAGGTTGGGATAGGGACTGTCGGTGATCAGCAACTTCTAAATTCTACCACAGATTCTCAATTGGATTGAGGTCTGGGCTTTGATTGGGCCATTCTAAGACATTCAGGTTCTTGTTTTTAAACCACCCCACTGTTACTTGCGTGTTTAAGATCACTGTCCTCCTGGAAGGTGAAGATGTATTACAGTCATAGTTTCCCAGCAGACTGAAACAGGTTTTGCTCTAGAACTGCCCTGCATTAAGTTCCATTCAGTTTGTCCTCACTCCTGACCAGTTTCATAGTCCCTGCCAAGGAGAGCATCCCCACAACATAATTCCTTGTATCTCGAGACAATGAGATTTTTGGCTACGCACCACACAAAGCATTTTGCATCAAGGTCAAAAGGTTCATTTTTGCTCTCATCACAACAGTGAACCTTTTTCTACATTTACTGTGCCTCCTAATTTTTTCTGCACACTCCAAATGGACTGTAATATGCATGCATTTCAGCAATAATTTTTGCCTTATCACTCCTCCATAAAGCCCAGCTTTGTGAAATCCCTGGCTGTTAGTTGCCCCATAGACAGTTCACCTCATCTCATCTAACCTCACCTGCAAATACCTCCAGCTCCTACAGCACAGAGTTATTACTGGCATCTTGGCTGCTTTTCTGACTAATGCACTCTTTACCTGGTCACTACATGTCAGCTCTAGGCAGAACTGCAGTTCAGCCATATTAATTCCATTTTGAAATAATGGATTTAATGGCATTCCAAGGGATGGTCATAGTTTGGGATTTTTTTTAATAACTGAACCCTGACTGGCACTTTATCCAAGAGTTGTTCTGATAGCTTCTTGGTCTTCATGATGCTGTTTGTTTACCTATGCTCTTCAACAAACTTTGGGACCTTCCAGAAACCAGTGTATTTATGTCAGGCCATGTGGTACAAGAACAGCACACAAGTGGTCTCCATTCAACTACTTAAAGTATATGACTTTTGGAGGCAATAGTTTCTACCAGAGTTTATTTAGGCATGTCACAACCAAGTAGGTGAATACTTATGCAACCAACAAGTACCAGTTTGCTTTCATTTACTTAACTTCTGTATCACAATAAAAATATGTTGTGCCTTCAACAATGTTGAAGCATCTTGCGTTCATCAAGTGGTAGCAATGTCAATTAAATCCTTTTTAATTCCTGGTGTCACACAAAAATATGGAAAAATCCAAGAAGGGCAGCAAACACTCATGTAGATCTTTCAAATGTTAGGTGGAAAAAACATTCTGTCACAAAATTCATGCCAAAATTAAGTACACAAACTAGGTCAAGGAGCCCACATGCTACAAACCAGGAAGAAACTTATTTACCCTGTGTGAATAACTGCAAAATTGAATATATTTTAGTTTAGTAACAAGCTAAAAATGGGACACAATATAATTTCTTATGAGCTTTAGCTTTAAGCAACAAGATTTGTAATATTCTATGGCTTATATAAAAATATTACTTGCCTTCATATGGTGTGTCCGGAGGTCCTGCTATTTCTCCTCTTAGTTCTGTAAAATTTTCATCTACAAGATCTACTTTAATTTGATTTTTGCTTGTCTTAAAAATAAAAACAGAAAAATTACAATCAGATGCTAGTATGTACTGGATTTTTTGTTCCCTTAAATTTAGAGAGATAAAACAAACTGCTATAAAACAGTCAACATACAGTCATATTATAGGCCACATTGCCTAAGTATTTAACGATACTGAAATCATATTTAGGCAGCCACTGAAATGTATTTGGGTTCCAAACATGTAATATGAACATGTAATATTATCCCCAGCAACTTTTAAAATCAGTCTAGGCCACCTAAATCTTAATTTTCACTCCATTCAATGGAATTTTAAGTAATCTAATTCTGTGCAGGAGTTCTGTAGTTATTTAAATAAGTTACTTAGTTTATGTATCAAATCATAAAAACAGACATTAAACAAAATTAACAATGGATGCACTTTTTTCCTTTCTCCACAGCTTTCCTTTAACACTTTCTAACAACTTTTCAAACTAGCTCAAAATCCTACTAAGACATAGTTGCAGCCGGCATTCATTGGTTAAGATTACAGAATCAGAGATAAAATATAATATAACTGCTGGCATTACAAGTATTACAGTACCACTAGCTATACAGATGGATACTTGGTAAAAGCAAGCAATTTCAATCAAGGGTGGCCAGCTTGCAATCCTCCAAATAATTTTGCCCATAACTCACATCAGCCCTAGCAAACTTAGCAGCAAAGGATTATGGGAGTTGTAGACCAAAACTTCTGGAGGGCTCCAAGTTTCTCACCCGTGATCTAAGTTCAGGCATATTCCTCTCTATAATTTTATATATCATTTTGGGGAGGGGGGAATGCAAAGGAAAAAGTAAATAAACCTATGGCAAACAGTATCTTAATAACCTAATAAGACCAAGCACATATTTTTATTTGAAGCATTCATGTCTATTAAATAAGGAGAACCATGGACATGAAAGTAAAAAAAAAAGTGACATAAAGTCAGGTGCTGCTATAAAATATTTGAGAATTTGTTTTACACTAAAAGAGTCTGAGATGAAAGCTTATACAATGGTTTGGCAAGCCAGTGAACTGTTTAAATATTGCCTGTTCCCTGACAGGCCCTATTATTTGGCCACAATCAAACATTCCAAAAATAATGCCTTTGCATAGATAGCAGCTCACTATGATTATTATAGGCCATCAATGTGCAATATGGACATGTCCTATAGAGCAAGGTCAAGTCCCTATTTATATTTATACATCAGAGAGGAAGGGAAGGGGAGACAAGGATAACAAGAATATATTATTTCAGTAAGACATACTTAAGATGAGTTACAGCAGGGCAAGGGTAGGCAGCCTGTTACCCTCCAGATGTTTTAAGCTACATCTTCAATAATTCACCAGTGACCACACTGACTGGGGTTTTTGAGAGCTGTAGTCAAACACATCTGAAGAGAACTAATTAGCTTACCACTGCAGTAAGACATGGGAACAAGGAAAATTTTCTAAGGGCTTCATGTAAAAGTATCCACCATGCACAAAAGAGGAGTGTCTTAATTGGCCTTGGGGACAAGGCATTATATAGGCTGTGTAAGAAGATATTTCAGGGTGCTTAATGTTGGTGATGAAAGCCCAGTAAGAGTCTTGACAAAATATTTTGTAGAAGGACTAAGAATTCAAAATACTGAAGGAGAGCAAGAGAAAAGCCTAATACACATATACTGGTCACATTCATACAGTACACCAAGCCATCCTGTGAATTAGCTTTGCAGTGTAAGTTGTTTGCAGAAAAGTCTACAATATACCTAACAGTCAGGCTCATCATGGTTTGTCCTCCACAGCATTCCCTTTTGGTACCCTAGCAGGTATCCCACTGTCCTTTGCAGCGAAACTGTCTTGCCTCCCCCTTGCTTCTCTGATTGATACTCCTTTCATTTGCCACCAGTTTTTTTGAAGTCTCAGAAAAATATAATTGGGGTCACTGAAAAATTACAAACCAATTTGTGCAATTTCAGGGGGTCAAAATAATTTGAAAAGGGTGGCAAACCAGTGGCAGCCATCTGGGCATTAGTGAAGGAGCTGTTACTGGTGGCTGCAAGGGAGATCATGAACAGCAACAATGGTTTTTGCAGCTCTAGCAGAGTAACTCCCCACAATCTGTGATTAAATCACTCTCTGAGATTCAGATAACTCCCTAATACAATGTGGCCAGAACAACCCCTGTGTATCAGGACGCTTTGTTGCTGAAAAATATGGCACCCTGAGAGAGGTGGTCAAGGCTTGGATGACAATGACAAACTACTTTAACTAATTACCAACCCACTATGAGTAGCTTCATGTGTCAATACTTTTTTTAAGCCAACTAAATATTCTACCTTAATATGCTGACTGATAGAAGTTCATAAAATCTGGTACAGTATTCTAGTTCTGCTACCCATTTAACATTTAAGGAACAAGTGTCAACAAAATGCACTGCTCTTCAAATTCTAAATCCTCTCTAAATTAGTTAACAGTTGAAACATTCAACAACACTAACCACGCAAGTACCACAGTTATGCAGTACACTAATTTATTATTTTGCACTTGCAAACTGAAGAACAATACCATTCAATTCATGAAGCAGTCATTTCCTATTCATTTCTTCCACGGCTCAAGGTCAGGTTTCCCCTACATCTGCAGGTCATCTGACAAACTGGTCAGCAAATTCAATGCAATACAGGCGCTTCAGGAAACAAGGCTATATGCCTTTAAATAAAATAAGGCCCATGTGAACATCAATTTGAAAGTTCATTCAGCACCTCATTTGGAAGAAAAGGGGTACAATCAACTTATTTTATAGAGCCTACCATTATTTTTATTGCCAGGCTTTAAGATTGGCCACAGCAGTCCTGTTTCAACCTTGTAGTCCAGTTAGACTGATGGGCACAAGACAGGATCTTCTCAGTGGTGGTACCAATGTATGAAACTTCCTCCTGTAAGTGGTACCTTTGGTTCCTTTACAATATGCCTTTAAGTGGTGATAAAGACTTATTTCAAACTAAATTTTATTGAAAGGAATTGAATTTTACATGGTAATGGTTTTCACTAGTCTGATC